CCCCCCCCCCCCCCCCCCCCCCTGCTATGGGCCATGCCCAAGCAAAAGCCTTGCCAAGGCAGCGAGGGGAAGAAGGGGGGTGGAAAGTCGGTCGCGGATCGTTTTGAAGGTGGATCTCTCTGCTGCAGGTGGCCTTCTCTCTCCGAAACGAGAAACGAGTGTACCCGATTTTGGCCACTGATAATTCAAAATATGTACGGCAGTAGTTTCTTCAAGTAGTAGTACCTGGTACTGTGCTCAACGGAGAACAAGTGCGGCACCTGTTTTGCCCATATACTTTCAAGTACTCCGGAGTATTTCTCGGTGAATAAACCGCCAGACCATGTAACATTATATTATATCGTGAAGCTTTACTTGTATGCATAGTCTACAAGGTTTCTCAGCCCAGGATTGCGCTGAAAGGGTGGTAGGTGAAGCGTGTGCACAGCGTACCAAGGCACAAAGCTAGATGACATATTTTTCAATTCGACGCTACATATGCATAGACTCACAAAGTTGGAGTATGCACATTACACGATATGCAGTAGTGGGCCCTATTAGTACCAGGTGAAAAGTGCAACAAAATCAGTCTGGTATATACAATATATCGTAGTGCCGGTCAAATCTCAGGACACGGGTGTGTACCCTCATGCTAACACTTATTATCCCCGTTCTGAATAGTGCCGGTGGCCCAGTAAAGTGCCGGTAAGACCTCAAAACACATACCGGCACTATACAGGGTCCACTACTGCATATCGTGAGACGCCACGCGCTCTATTCATTTCCGTGGCCGCCCGTCTATGTGTGGAATGGGGCTCGCCACCTCGCTCAGTCTCAGCCTGGGGCGATCTCGGAAGGCTGGCTGTGGGCGTTCATCACCAGCATATCGTCCTGTCTGTCAGCAGGCAGTTCAGTTATGATACAACAGGATGAGCCCTAGACTATAGTGAGTGGTTGTTCGCTTTCGATGCGGAAATAGGTCATTTTCATCATACGAATGCAAAGAACCCGGCCAGAGGTAAGGCTATGCACCTTGCAGGCTACCTACTACGTACAGCAGCGTCCACGTTGTGTTGTGTGGTGTTCCTGCGGGGTTACCCCTGCACGTGTAGAGCCATAAGTGCGGGACGGAAGGAGCAACCGTTAAACGCGTGCCTGAAAAAATACAACTATAAACTAGACGCACAGAGCTGCTGCTGCAGCGGCGGCGGCGGCGGCAGCGGGGCGTGCGAGGTTTATTCCGAAGTTCGAAAGTCAGGTCTGCCACTCTCGCACTATTAATAGTCGTGCTGCCAACGCACCGGACTTACTCTTCCTACCGCTTTGGCACACGGCGGGGTGATCCCCACCACGCAAACAAAGGCGCAAGTCATCCTTATTGATTAGGGCAACGTCGGAGGCCTTATTCTCTCACGTTTCTCCAGATGCTCGCGTGCTCTTGCTTGGGGCAGGAGTGATGAAGACGGCGGATTTTGTGTCCGGTGTCGGGTGGGGTGGCTGCCAGAGAGATGTGCGGCCCTGTGTTTGTGCCGATACAGAATGGTTGACGGGCTGAACGCAATCACACGGAAGGGGGAAACGGCTACACCGACCGCAATTTCAAAGCTAAATAAAAACATATCCCCTGCTGTCTTCGTAAAAGCGTGCCGCGTTCGTCATCAATGACCAAAAGAAGTACAGGGTAGGAAGATCTATAGCGCCCACAACCGCAGGGCTGGGTCCAGCCAGCGTACCTCGGACAAGCAAGGAGGGGGGCTACTTCCATCCATGAGCGTGACCACATTATTAACACCTCACGCCTGAGGGCATGGCATGCAAGAAGAAGGAGTTGTCAGTTGGATTTCTTGCTGGCACGCTTTTTATCTTCCTCGTTCGGTCCGTGCACATACAAGCCGGTCGCCCCGGTGGTCTAGTTGGTAACCTCGAAACCTTCTAGAGGTCTGGTGAGGGATTGGAGTCCCGCCGTAAGCGAGCTTTTCTTGCAAAGTGAGTTTTTCTCTCGCTTCCATTCCTGGCCTAGTGGATAGCACTAGTTCGTGTGTACACAGAGGGAAAAGAGTGCTGAACTATTCTCGCATCAACGATCGAAGGCAAAGTACCGCTGGAGGTGAGGGTAGAGAGGGGTTCTTATGTGTGACCACAGGTTGAAGTAAACGGCACTACTATTATTAATAGTGCCGTGAGCGCTGATTTGAAGTGAAGAAAAAAAAACATGCAGAGGTTGAAAATGACCCGTCCGGGGGTTGCTGTTGTTGTTGTCTTCACATTAATAACCGTTCCGATCTCTCTCTACCCAGTACCTTCGTATGTCCGTACTGATCCAACACTCGACGCGGTCGATTCCCGTGGCCGCAGGCTAACTTGACCTAAAAAGGTAAACTCAAATAAAATGGCCCCGAGGGGTCCGCAGGTCAATAGAAATCAACGACGACAGATATTCTGGAGTCCTCCACTCCCTCTGCGCGCTATGCGAGGTAAGAACTGAGACTATGATTCCCCATCACGGGCCGGAGAGAACGAGGTACACCCCCTTGGTTCAATCTTGGTACTTCACAACGCAAGCAGAGACAAGGCCATCTGGCACAGAAAAAGCGAGAAAAAGAGAAAGAAGAAAATAAAAGGGAAAACAGTAAGGAAAGGGAAAATGAAATTAAGAGAGCGAGGACAAAAAGGGACCAGGCCGAAAATAACAAGAAAAAAGAGACAGAAAAGGCACACGGTGGAGAGACCACTACCAACAAGCAAACACGCAAACATGGCCATCAACCAGCGATACATTGTAATGGTACGTCATCACTCGTTAGTGGGGGGTTGGTGCAATGGTGCAGCGTTCGGGGAGGGGAACTTGGCTAATAAAGAAATTCAACCCGGCACGTATCACGCCACTCGATCCGTCTCTTCTCGATTGCTTTCTTCCCTCGCGGTCTCGTCCGTCTCCTGCCCCCCTCCCGCCCCATTGGTTGGTGGCTTGTGGTTTCGTTTGAGCGCCCGTTGTCGGCT